CAAGAACTGTTGCTTTGTTTTCTTATTCCAAGGGGGACATTTCTTGTATCATTTGAAAACAAGATCATTTTGCTTTGACCCTTTGGCAAATCTTGTTTCAAGGTAGTCATAATGTGCTCAAATTAAGAAACCTTTTGCCAAACTTGAGCAATTTTGGACTTATTTGTCATCACTTTTTGCAGTGCATGGAGGTCTCTCAGGGGGAGGAGAACTTTGGAAGTGAGAAGTCAAAACGTGAAAGTGAGGAGAGCACAGAGAGGAGGATAGGGGGTTGTTAGCACACACGGGAAGGCACGGTGACTGTCTGGTGTTAAAGGTGGTGGTCTGCATGGGAAAAGAGCTGAGTAATAAAGTGTGATGTCACCCTTAAAGAACCGCAGCTTGTGACTGGATGTGTGCGGTCACGGAGAGTTTATAGAGGCTGGATTAGAAGCAGTATCTGGAAAAGACTGGAAAGACATCATTCAGTATCTTAAACATGATATATTTTGTGCGAAACTTGACTTTTAATATAGCATTAAAGGATACGTTTATTTCCATTCTGATTTATTAACTGCATGTTTGGGTGATATTTTGTATCCTGCATTTAAATGGTCATACTACACCCTTTTTATGTGACAAGTGGACCATTGTACACTTTTTAGTGCCTTCATATCTTTACTACGGAAGAGAACCAGAAGTAAGTGAATACTGTTCCATTATGTGTCGTCTGCTGCTGCAATACAGACATATCTAAATTGCAAGTTGTACAGAACAACTTGGCCTATGGTTCACGATAAGTTACAATATAACCTTTTAATGCTATGGAAAAAGGTAATATTGACTGTTAAGCCGATTTTAATGTCTGAGAAAATCACATATGTACATCAGATTCACTCCCATTCTACTAGGCAGGCTCGTAATGCTTGGACATCAATCGGCCTAGAACCAAATCATTGCAAAAGGCTGTTATTTTAGGAGCAGCACAACGTTGGAATAGGCTGCTTAGGGAGATGAGGAATCTATCTTCTTTCAATAATCTTCAGTGTGAACGCAGCCTTAAAGCAGTACATGTAAAATCATACCAACAAGATCTAACAACTGTCCTTAATGATAAACATGGACTGCAAATACTTCAGAGGCATTTTCATACTGTTAAAAGAAAATCCATGGGCGCCTGTTCCTTTTCAGACCAAGGGTTATTATTACACATGTTTTTAGTGGTGGAGGTAACCGGAGCACCTGGAGGAATCCGGACCAACACAGGTAGAACTTATTTCTTGTTGCCCAGAACCTTCTTGTTGAGAAAAGCTAACCACTCAGCCACCATCTCACTCAATACTTATAGAATACGTTGTTTAATCGTTCTCTATGTTTGATCGGCTTTTGTTGGCTACATAAGTATTCACGCTTTCATTTGTATTTCCCCAAACATCACTCATCCAGAGATTTCTAGTTCTTTTGGCATCTTGGGGTTTGACGTTTTGTTTTGGTTAAATGTCTGAATATATCATCTACAACTGTTGGTCGACTTCTGGTTCGTGTGTGGATGGACTGATTGTGAGTCCGGTCTGAAGTACAGCCTCGTCCTCGGAAACTCGTAATCTGACAGTGGATTACGGGCTGAACCAACTATCTACAGCAAACACAATGACACCGCCTAAGAAAGGCCATAACAACAATCGAGAAAATAGTAAAGAAATCTCTGGAGTTTGTTTCTGGGGATGTCTCGACAATCAATTGTAATTTATTGTGACTTTTTTTTTAAATTGTTGTGGTCTTCCTCGTAATGAAAAGCAGACACATTTGGTCGTGGGCTCGGATGCCAGGTCATACCACGTACCAGCATGAAATCGTCTTGGGTGAGGTCCACCTTGATCCTTGTTAGGTCTTGGTCTGAGCTCAGTATAGTCCAGACGCAGTGGGAAATAGTGTAGCACCAGGGATCCAGGTTTTGGCGTGGCCTTAAAACTAGACTGCACATTCCACTAATTATTCATAAGATTAAGTGAGAAAGGATCTTCACCTGAGTCTATTCCAAGTAGATGAATAAAATACCATGCCGTCTGGGAATATTGCCCAAATTGTGACATCTTTTATGGCACTTTTAGAACCATATATTCAACAAAAGATTCAGATTTAGTGGATGTAGTCCCCACTTTATGTAGAATGCATCTCCGCAGCCTCCATCTTCACATAAACAAAAGTACCATCCTATTCTTCCCTTCCAACTCATTTTTCTGTCTCTCTTTCATTGGTCTAAATGGCCTTGGTTCTTTACAGCAGTTTACAAGCTCTGCCAAGAAGCAACTATTGATTCCAAAGCACTTGAAGCAGTGACTAACACCGTACTTTCACAATGCCTTGGTGTTTCATGGCTTTCACCTTTTGTGTGCGAGAGGAATCCTTAGGTAAATACTAGTAAACAAACCTTTTGTATAATCCTACCGTCGTCCTTCCCCCGTGCACACAGTTCATCAGGCCTGCTGAATCTATGTCGTTTTCATTCTCCCATTGTAACTTTATGAAGCTCTTGAACAGTCTATAACGCCACTATAGCGCAGCGTATAAAATATCAATCTTGTATTTTGCATTCACCAAGAGTAGTACCAAGATAATAGAAATACACAATAGACACAAAGTAGCCACACACAAGAGAAATACAGAAAAACACAAAGGAAAACAGTTTGAGATTTGTTTAAAGGCACATACTAAAAGATAGACTGCTGGAATTAAAAAATATATATATTCATACATATATTTACAATTGTCTTGAAGCTGCATTTCAGATTCAACCGTCTTCCTGAAAATGTGAGACAGGCTTCTTCTCTGACAATGCTTAGGCTTTTAAACTATGCCTACAAATGAGGAATCTTTACTCGTTTTAATGAATTGTGATTACTTATGATTGTAAAGCCTTGTATGACTCTTTTGTTCAGCACTTTGAGTTGCCTTATGTATGATTTGTGCTATAAATAATTTTGCTTTTCCTTATTGTCCTCCAGTCACGACATCCTCAAAAAGACAGACAGACAGAAAGACAAAAAACACAAACAAAAGCAATATGAGATTTTTTAAGCACATACTAAAAGTGATAGCCTGAGGAATTAAAGATATCATATACATATTTTATACATATTTTTACGGCATTTGGAAACTACATTGTAATATCTGCGCAAAAAACACAATAGATACAATGCAGCCAAGATATAAAGAACTAGAGAAAGACAGAAAAACCCATAGAAAAACAATTTGACCTGAAAGATTTTTTTTTTCTAAAAGCAAATACACATACAACTTTCTTGGGAGTAAAATAACTGTGCTAGACAAATAAGCTGACTTTTCCTTGCCGTACAGTCCTCATTTCAAGCTGCGGACTTCCTACTATTTAAGGCAAATCACAACATCCTCAAACATTGTCATTTTCATTTCCCTTTTGTCGATTTATGAAGCTCCAGAACAGTCAATACACCGCAGCATATGAAACTATCCATACTGTATTTCACATTCACCAAGACTATATAGCACCAAGACCGCACTTCATTTTTTTCCCCCACGAGTCCATGTGGCGACGCTTACTCAATCCTTCTTACTGTCAGTGGCGGGGACTTTGGGTCGGTAATGAGCTGAAACAGATGAGAAGAGAATAAATGATGACTTTCACAGGGGAATGTTCCGACGTGAGCGTGCGTGGCAGGAGAAGCAGGTCACTGTCGGACTAGTCCACCGTGCCCTAAATCAAAGCTTCCTGTGCAGACCAGATAAAGGGATTCAGTCCATAAAGCAGGCTCCCAGTCAGCGGCTGAGAAAGAAAGGTCAGATGCTGGGGTTACTGCCTCTCTTGCACATTTGGAGATTTCAGAATACACACAAGTTTATAAGAGATGTGAGAAGGCGTTCGGTAACTATGAGATGATATAACATAAGGGTCTCCAACCTGTAACTCGGGAGCTACCAGAAGCTCGCCAGCTCCTTTCAGGTAGCTCCCCAAAGGATTCTGAATTTAACACATGATCTTGACTCAATCATTACATTTTAAGTCATCATTACTTATCTATTATAAGTATAAATATAGGGTTATACAGTATTATGGTATATTTTACATGTGTTTTCCATGATTTGTCGTAATTATCACACAGATTTTAATTACAAAAAGGAGTAGCTCTCGACCTCGTCTGTTGTATAAAAGTAAATTGAGAAAGGTTGGAGACCCCTGACATAAGGTAATAGAATCTTTATTCATCCCACCGTGGCAAGATTCCAGTCTTGTAGCTCTCATTACATAAAATTACACTATAACACTAACTATAAGTTGTTTGTAATGTAACCAACTTATCTCTTGGTTAAAACAACCTTATTTTTAATTGGTCATGACAATATTTATCATTTGAGCATTAATCATTCACTCTGTTCACAGTGGTGGTAAACTAAAGCTGCACTGGGGCAGATTGAAGTTAGTGAGGCAAAATATTCACAAACACACTCGACCAAAACTCATTTCTCTGGGTTGGAATCCCGGTGGGAAAAGGGCCTTTCAGAGTGGACTTTGTATGTTCTCCCCGTGTGTGCGTAGGTTTCCTCCAGGTGCTCCGGTTTCCCCTACCACAACACACGCTCCCATCTCTGTGTGGAGCGAGAGACAAATGCCCACAATTGTAAATCGCTTTGTGACTCTGGTCTGTGAAAGCCGATATATAAATAAAGTTTATTTACTTTAAAGGAATCTATTGATACAACTGATTCTGAGAAATACATTTGTCAATCAAACCAATATCGGTTTAACTAATTAGACTGGTTTGGCCACAACCAACAGATTGGTACATTTTTATTGTGTATATTTGCCTCTCACAACAATGGCTTGCTTCAAACCAAAATCTAACATCAAAAGTGTGACAATTATGTCGATATTCCAATATTTATGAACCTTTCTATACATTTTGTCCATAGAGTCCTCAATTGTCTCTAGAAAAGGGAGTGTCAGTAGTTAGGGTTAAGTTATACGTCATCGGAGCCTTTTCTATTTAAATGGAATGCTTAGTCAGAGCTGCGATGGTGAGACTGCGTGTCGTCTTCTGAGCACGCACATATGCACATTCCAGCGTGTACATTTTCCCATGCTCTGCGCTGCTCCACTGACTCAGCAGCAGCAGCAGCAGCAGCAGAGGATGACAGCTCACAGGCTCCAGCTCTCGGTCCACACGGCTCTGGCTCTGCTCACCATCCTGCACAACATTAGCAACTTTCTGACAGCCACTCATGGGCTCTGTTAAAAGAAAGCAGAGAAAGCTAACGGGTTTTCTGTATCCACAAAAAAATTGGCTTTTCTGCCAATAAAGAAATCTTAGGTAAAAATCTGCAGGCTGTATTCCTGACTTGTTGTTTAGCAATACAGTTAGTTTGCCCCATAACGAAAAGAGTCTTGTAAAAGTAACATTTGTAACAAGTAACATACTGTCTTAATCTTATTCCAATTTATATTATATATTTTTTATTCTGTAATGCTTTGGGCTGAGAGTTGATTGCCTGAGCAAGAGTGATCCATGGCACTTGTTTTGAATTTTTCATAATAGTTTTGTATGCTCATCTAATTAGTTTTGAACGCTCATGAAACACAAGCCAAAAAAGCCCTGCATGTGAAAACTAGCAATAGAACTGTTTTGTGAGCTAGAAATTAGTTAGATGAGTTTTATTTCATTGTTTATTTTTCTGTGGTTTGAACACTGGGCTCCTGATAGAACACATACAGCCACAAATGATAAATTATGAGGTAATACATTTTTAAATCAAGTGGTTTTTATCTTTACTTGAGTGCATTCTGTCTTAGAACAAGTCATTTTGCCATAATTCAAGAACTGTTGCATTTTTGTTGTCATTCCAAGGAAGACTTTTCTTGTATCTTTTTAAAACAAGATCATTTATCATGTCCCATTGGCAAATTTTGTTTTAAACCAGTCAAAATGTGCTCAAACTACAATAGATTTTAGAACTTTAGACTTATTCCTTGGCACTTTTTGCAGTGTATAATAATAGTTCAGGCTGGAGACATGTCCTCATTCCCGCTCTACCACAAGCTTTACCGTTATTTGGTCACCTGCCAATCCAAATTGTCACAGCCCTTCTCCGGAATCAGTTTCTGCCAATCCTGATCATCCAGCATCATCACAGCAGCCATCAGCTCTACAGCGAAAGGCATCATCTCCTCCATGTACGGGCCTGGCAGGGGGGAGTTTGCGAATTCTTCTCATATCGGGCATGCATTCCCCCTACACAGCGTCCCTGTCAGGTCCAAGAGCCAAAACAATAAGTCATATTTCCATAAATCTTATTGCCATGTCTCCGTTCAGTCTGTCCGGGTTGAAATATTCGTATGTTTTTATTTCAACACCATAAATAACCGTGGTGTGATATTGGTCTATTTTTCTGATGGGCCGCTTTTCCCACACCCGCATTTCACACACCAATCTTTACTTTTTATGTTCGTCTTGTTGTTTCTGTCAATCTGTGAGCTTTCTGTAAGATTTAAGGATAAATCAAATCAAAAATCTCTTGCTTGCTACAATGGTCTGCGGCTTTATCGGCACGAAAAGGAGCTGAAACTAAAGTAAACGCATATATATACACATTTACTTACACCATCTTCTGTTAATGCTACTTTTAACTTTGAACTTTAACTTGTATTTTAATTTGTATTTTAACAGGGGCTGGTGCTCTTGGATTTGGGTGGCATCTCTGAGGAGAAGAAAATGGATGGATTTTAACTTTGAATGTACATTTTACTTGTCATGTAAGGCGACCTTGAGTATCTAGAAAGGCGCCAAAGACACAAAATGTATTATTAGGATTATTATGGATTATGTTGCATTTAAACAATGTATTACAATCTGGTTGTCATGTATTTTTACAATAAGAGATTTACAATAGGAGATTTAAAGCTTATTTGAAAGAAAATGTTGGCTGTTGATCCTGAAATGAGATACTACAGCAGATTACTAAGATCATTTTCATTTTGGGAGTTTAGGAGCAACTATGTGAATTCCACTGTTGCTCAATAAAATACATTTTGTGAATAATGCTGTTGGTTTGAGTCAGTCTCATTAAAAGTCTTTCTTTGCACCTTTTGTCCATGATTCAGAGGTTACATGTGGTTTGGTTTTGACGTTGGAGCGCTGATTCATAACTGTTTAATGCTTCTGAGATTATTGAGTGTTTTATTACAGTAGCTTGGGATTTAAAGGGGCAGTGTGCCATATTTGGGGAGGAATTCAATTGTTGTTTGAGACTTGAAAGTTACTGTTTAGTTCAAAAACTGTACGCGGTATAGTTTGTTAAAGTAGAAAAAAATACAGTTTGTCTGTCAGTCAGTCTTATGGAAACTTGAGTATTATCCTCTACTCTCTCATACTTTATATTTCTACATCTACATTTCTACATGATTATGACTTCAACTGTAGTCTGTTCATTGCTATTTACTCGCTGCCCAGCCTCTACAACCAGCACCTGTGAACTGGTCACCCCTGGCTCAGACATATGGGCTGTTCCCCCTTCCCGGCCTGGAGCTTCTTCAGTACTGCGCCTGAGTCCTTGTTCTATGGCCCTAGTTCTGGAACCACAACCTCAGTCCTGGATCTACAGTCTCAGTACAGGATCTAAAAACTCAGTCCTGGATCTTCAATCTAAGTCCTGGATCTACAGCCTCAGTCTAGGTTCTACATTCTTAGACTTGGATCTACAGCCTCAGTCCTATAGATACAGTCTCAGCCCTGGATCTACAGCCTGAGTCCTGGATCTACAGCCTCAGTCCTTACAAGATTGCCCTATAATTTAAATGCCGTAAATTATAGCAGTAGCAAGTAATAGGAAGTAAGACGTAGGTTGTAGTAGTTGTAGTAGTAGTAGTAGTAGTAACAGTAGCAGAATTAGATCACACAGTATAAAGAAGGATTTTACTAAGCCCCTGACTTTGCAGAGAGTGTAGTGTCATCCCTCCTGAATACTTGTGCGCACTCCACTCGATGGTTCTTCTCAGACGTAAAGAGGAGAAATGAGGTGTGACCGGGGTTCGGGCTCCTGCTGAGACTCTCACAGGAGAAAGTGCTCTGAAGTGTTCCACGCATTACAAGAGATGGATCTAAACAGAGTAAGGCTGAGTTTACACGGAGACAATGTGGCAGTAAAACGGTATAGTTGGATGTCGGTTGCTACCAACCGTTCATACGAAGACTGTGTTTCAGGGGGGTGAAAACGTAAGTGTTCAGATCCAGCCTGCAGAGTGGGACAACTCAGAAACGCTGCACAGCGGGGGCTCTCTTTCACACCCGCGAGGGAAAAAAGGTGTGAAATCCCCCTCTGCTCTGACCCCCACCTCCTGCTGCTCCCCGCACGTAAATTTGGACATGCGCAGTAGCGGAGAACAAACGAAAACAAAAATGGCGCCGCGCGCACTAACTAGCTTCGTGGGCTTCCAGCGCGGCACAGAGGATAATTCTACTCCTTCGTTCGTCCAAACGAGACCACGCGAAGCTCTAGGTTCAGTTTCCATTTTCACAGCTGCTGTGAAAAGGCAGAATGATGTTGGTACTTTCTGAGGGTCTGGCACAGGAAGTGAGTATACTGCCGAGAGGGGGGCTGGGCACGGGGCTCGGGGTCGTGTGTCGTGTTGTAAAGTTTCTCTGCCCACTACTGGCCGGGCGCTAGAACTACATCGTTTTTCAACCTCATGTGAACGCTGATAAATTTGCATTAGGAGCCTGGTCGTTTCTGTTAATAGCCTGGAAACGTCTGCGCAGCGTCTCAGTATAAACAGGGCCTAAGTGTCTGATCGGGGCAAATGTGACACCTCCGACAAACTGGGCTATATTTAAATAAATAAAAACGTCTGCCTATTAGACCCACAAACTGAAAAATGAGCAATTTTGTGAGCCGTCATCAGTCATTATTATCAACATTCATCAAGTAATAAAGCCAATAAACAGGACTGAATTATATTACGTTGTTGACGACACTAATTTCATTTTCTGACTTCTATTGCAGGTAATGTCTAACACTCAATGGATGTAATCTGAACATGTAATACCTATTATTCACAGCATTTAAATACATCACACCAAGGCATTAACACACTATGATTAAGTCACAAAATCCTGAGCATATACAGGTAAAACTTGTGTCCTTACATGCTGCAAAAAGTGTTGAAAAATAAGTCAAAAATTGCTAAAATTTGGCTAAACTTCGCTCAGAAAGACCCTGTTCTGACCGGGTTTCGAACCCAGGACCTTCTTGCTGAGAAGCGAGAGTGCTATCCACTGTGCCGCCACAGAAAAATTTTCCAAAAAGCTAAGGTTTTTTAACTAAATTTCTTCTCGAGTTTCACCTGTGAGAGTATTTTTTGCTACCTGTGAATCTCCATGGAGACGGGAAAGCTTTGCCCAATGGCATGACCTTATACGTGCTATATAAATAAAGATTACTTACTTAGGTCAAGATTTAGCCTCTCCTGTAATATTTCTTACACAGCACACATTCTTCCAGAACTCGATCAGAAAAGTCACAGTGCACTTGTAAATCAAAGCCTTTATGCAACAATGGAAATGGAAGATTGAGTTTCTGCAGCAGCTCTCATAAAAACAATAATGGTGTTCTGTGGTGGTGATGTTGACTTGCCCACGCCGTGACCTTTCCCTTTCGGGGGGACGTGACCCTGGTCTTGGGTTTCCTTAGGGGACCTGCTCTCCCCTCCTCCCCCTCAGCCTGTAACGAGGAGAGGCGTCAGAGGCATGATTATTTGCACTGACCCGGCTCTGTCTGCGGGGCCGGTTACACTGCACTGGTTCCCATTGACACGGCGTGCGCTGGGGAGGGGGTCTGAAGGCTGGCTCCAGGCAGGCGGCTCTCAGCGGCAGGTTGATGAATGTCCAGGAGTGCGCTCTCTCTGCCACCCAGCTCTGCTCCCTCCTCCCACAATGACTTACAGTCTGTGAGGCGGCCGGCCTGCGGTCCCTCCGACATGAGCTGCCCACCGTGTTTCCTTCCACAAACATCTGAGGTCTGGAGCTCACAGAGGCTGCTCTGCCCTCGGAGCCTCTGCCGGACAAGCACGCTGCTCAGGTCACTCATGACAGCTTCAGGCACTGTGCATTTATCAGAGCACCTGAGTGGAGCTGAGAGCCACAAACACAGAATACCCTTTAAAAACACCTGAATACCTTCAAGGACTATTTGGACTTTTATGAGCTCTTACTCTCCATATTTGTCCGATATTTTATGTAGTTTTGTTGTCGACCCACCCATCAGCCCTGCCCCCAGCCTAACAATAGCCGCTAAAGAGATTAAACAACTCTTCCTGAGGCTGCACCCCCGCAAAGCTCCTGGCCCGGACCACGTGTCTCCGGCCACTCTGAGACACTGCGCCAGTGAGCTTACTCCTGTGTTCACGGACATTTTCAACTCCTCTCTGCAGTCCTGCCATGTCCCGGCCTGCTTCAAATCCTCCATCATTGTCCCCGTCCCGAAGAAGCCCAGGATCACAGGACTCAATGACTACAGACCTGTAGCACTTACGTCTGTCGTCATGAAGTCATTTGAACGCCTGGTTCTCTCCCATCTCAAGTCCCTCACCTCCCCCCTCCTGGACCCCCTGCAGTTCGCCTACAGAGCCAACAGATCTGTAGACGACGCCATTAACCTGGCCCTCCACCACATCCTACAGCACCTGGACTCCCCGGGGACCTACGCCAGGGTCCTGTTCGTGGACTTCAGCTCTGCCTTCAACACAATCCTGCCATCCCTGCTCCAGGACAAGCTCTCCCAGCTCAACGTGCCCGATTCCACCTGCAGGTGGATCACTGACTTCCTGACGGACAGGAAGCAGCGAGTGCGTCTGGGGAAGAATGTCTCGGACTCTCGGATTATAAATACAGGAGCCCCACAGGGCTGTGTTCTTTCTCCCCTGCTCTTCTCCCTGTACACCAACCACTGCACCTCCAGCCACGACTCCGTGAAGCTGATCAAGTTCGCGGACGACACCACCCTCATTGGACTCATCTCCAACAACGATGAGTCCGCCTACAGGAGGGAGGTGGACCGGCTGGTGTCCTGGTGCAGTGGTAACAACCTGGAGCTGAACGCCCAGAAGACAGTGGAGATGATTGTGGACTTCAGGAAGAGCACTGTCCCCCCGCCCCCACCCTCCGTGATGGACTCCCCCATCACCTCTGTGGAGTCCTTCCGTTTCCTGGGCACCACCATCACCCAGGACCTCAAGTGGGAGCCGACCATCAGCTCCCTCATCAAGAAGGCCCAGCAGAGGATGTACTTCCTGCGGCAGCTCAGGAAAGCCAAGCTGCCTGCACAGATGTTGGTGCAGTTCTACACGGCCATCATCGAGTCCATCCTCACCTCCTCCATCACCGTGTGGTTCGCTGGAGCCACAGTCAGGGACAAACAGAGACTACAGCGCATTGTGCGCTCTGCAGAGGAAGTGATCGGCCGCAGCCTTCCATCGCTGCAGGACCTGTACGTCGCCCGAGCTCGAGGCCGGGCTGGTCGTATCACAGCCGACCCCTCTCACCCTGCACATGGACTATTCCAACCACTCCCCTCAGGCAGGAGGCTGCGGTCCATCAGGACTAGAACCTCCCGCCACAAGAACAGTTTCTTCCCCTCTGCTGTTGGACTCTTGAACACTTCTTAACCTGTCCCCCCGCCCTTTATAAAGTCACTTTACTGCCCATCATACGTCACTTTACTTCACTGTACTGCTGTCACCTTACATTGTGTGCACCATGTGCACTTGTATATTGTAAATAGTAACTGTAACTCTATTTTAAATTTAAATTTATTCTTTAGAAGTGTTTTTTATTCTTATTTTTATTATCTCTTTTTGACTGTTGCACTGAGCCAAAGCAATTTCCAAGTCTGTGACCTCCCGTTACTTACGTTGGCAATAAAAATGATTCTGATTCTGATTCTGATTCTGGTATTGATTTTTAATCCGTAGCACTTTGTGGAAATGAATGGTGCATTATAAATAACGTGTATTTTTATTGTTGTTATTATTTGCTTACTTAATGATGGAAATGTGATCATTGGTTATAGGTTGCCCTCTAACCCTGACATCACAACATTCAAGAGACCCTATAGTTTAACATTGTGCTGAAGCTCTCCTGGTCACTATGGTAACTACAATGAGTCAGATTTCTATTCTTAGTTTAATTTCTCTGTAATTCCTGAGACAATCCATAAAGTTCTATACATCAACTATGCTCCCATTACTTTTATAATTTAGTCGCATTTTAGTCACTTTTCATTTTATTATAACAAATCGTGCACAAAAGAGATTATATTTTAACCTTTTTAACATCTTCGCACACTTCCTGTCTTTTTGCACAACACAGAAGCTCCCATCAGCGTTACTTATTTCTCAATTTGATGTTTTTCTCTCAAACTTTAGCCTAAACCCTTCACGTTTAGAATAAAGTTCATCCATGTTGTGCGATCCTTAATTGAGTTAAGAGAACAAGTACTTTTAACAGAGCAAATATTACCAAATTATTATCTTACACGCGCTCCAGATATAGATTCACCTTTTTGTATGTTTTTTTAACACATTACTTACGTCCTTAATTACGTCTAGATATAAATGGAAAAAAATATCCAAACTTCATTAAACGCCTAACGAGGTAACTATTTTTTACAGTCTTTGTCCTTGCATCACGTCTCACTTAATGTGGACCTTGTAAAAGCAAAGTTTGAATGGCCATAAAACTCTTGCATAATGACTGGAGGAGAACGGCTCCATTGTTAGCGCCGGCCCCCCGTCACTAATTGCTAATTGCACTTTATTCATTGTTAGACCAGGCTGGGGGCTCCATGGTCAGCTGACACACTACTGACGTGCGTTTACCGGTTTTTACCCCTATTCTGATTAGTTTAGTTGGAAAAGGATCAAAGTTCAATCTCATGCCATTGTCTAATTTTCTACGAAAGGTTATGCTGATCAAAATGGCTGGATAAAACAACGATCACATTATTTAGACAGCGTGGATATTCCAGGCCATTAGAATCGCAATTATTTGTAAATACAAGCTCGTTATGGCACCCTACAATTGAGACTGGCAGTAATTTCATGACGCACAAATCGCAGGATTGTTGGCCGACGGTTTTTTATCAAGCCTTGTTTTCGCCTGTGTTTTTTCCTGAAATCCTACAGCCCACATTGTCTAACCACCGTCAAATTGAGGGCTGACATTTGCCTTAAATGAAAATTGCATATTGGCGTTATCAAGAGCAACTATTGTAATGGCTGTGAAAGGTCATACCTGTTTGAATAGCGGGTCAGTGCTAAAGTGTTGCCAATTGTGAATTTGTTGGGCTTAGTCATGGCTGCCCAGTGGGTGATTAAAGCTAATGTTAGCACCTCAGAGAAAGCAGGCGGTACACTGCGGACTCTAAGAACAAGGCCTGTTTGTGTGTGATGTTGTCCGCGTGATAGCTCTACACGATCCTCCAATTTTCAACATCAACCAGGGAAAAAACAGGCACAGCATCTAATCCCGCATAGGTAGTCACAGAAGCATCAATAACCACATGTACTGTATTATCGGAGTGAAGGCAAGGGAGGGGGAAGAGTTATGTTAAAAATGCCATTCCATCCATTCAAACATATATGGACATGGGACAATAATAATCTTTCATATATCAGAACAGTTGTATGTCCATTATAGACTCTCTGCACCTAATTTACACTTTTTTCATTACAGGGATGTCCATCATAATTAAAGGAAAGAGAAAAGTGTATGTGTCTAAATTTATCTGCTTCAGAATCATGTGGAGCTACTTTCTAGTGTTGTAGTGTTTTTGGACTATTCAAAATATAGGCGCACTTGTACTTATGACACACCCTTTATATATGATGCACCTGTATATATGATGCACCTGTATATATGAGGCACCTGTATATATGAGGCACCTGTATATATGACACACCCTTTATATATGATGCACCTGTATATATGATGCACCTGTATATATGACACACCTGTATATATGATGCACCTGTATATATGACACACCTGTATATATGACACACCTGTATATATGACACACCTGTATATATGATGCACCTGTATATATGATGCACCTGTATATATGATGCACCTGTATATATGATGCACCTGTATATATGAGGCACCTGTATATATGAGGCACCTGTATATATGAGGCACCTGTATATATGACACACCTGTATATATGATGCACCTGTATATATGACACACCTGTATATATGACGCACCTGTATATATGATGCACCTGTATATATGACGCACCTGTATATATGATGCACCTGTATATATGACACACCTGTATATATGATGCATCTTCTATACTGTATATGATGCACCTGTATATGACGCACCTGTATATATGATGCATCTTCTATACTGTATATGATGCACCTGTATATATGAGACGCCTGTACATGTGATGCACCTGTATATATGATGCATCCTCTATACTGTATATGATGCACCTGTATATATGATGCATCTTCTATACTGTATATGATGCACCTGTATATATGACACGCCTGTATATATGACACGCCTGTACATATGATGCGCCTGTATATATGACACACCCTGTAATGTCTGTATTGAGTGAGAATGTTGTTGAAAAGTCCATTGTTGTACATGTTCTGAAAATAAATAAATAAAAAAGTATTGATTGATTGATCAGCAGAGGGCCATTGTAATAGTTTGTCCATTTTTCTTGCCTTAAAAAGAGGCGATAAAATGGTTAAAAAGAAACAACAATACGTAAAAAATTGCGAGTTGTGACTAATTTGTTTCAGTTCTCTGACATATCAGGGCTCTCTTGGTGGATGGACTTGGTGGCCGGTATGTCTGATGTTGTACAGAGAATAAGGATTGATGTATTGTAATGAGATATGAGAGAGAAGGGAGAAAAAAATCACAATGTTAAGTGCAAGATTATTAAGTAGACTATAGCTTGTTGTATTTTGGGCCCCATTATAACTCTAATCGTAAGTCTGGCTCACCACACAATAAAAACACATGATTTTTGTATTTGTTAGAACAGTTTCTCACTTCAATCCAATGGTCAGGTCTACAGGATTAGTAACCAATCTTACACTGAGTAAAGCTAATTCCCCACCCAGTCCTTCACTGCTACTTTTTCCTCAGCAGTTTTCCGTCTCTGCGTCAGAACAGCAGGCTGGAGTCCTTCATGATGAAGAGTATAGTCTTCATGATCGCACTTGTACAACGAGGAGGAGTGGCGTTTGAAGCAGCCGCAGAGGAGCAACCGTCACTCCTCCATCTCCATGACACACTGGAACATGACAGGTAATTGGCCTAGTTATGTCCTCCGCTATAGACTTTTCTCACGTCAATTGTCAATGAAGGAAGACGCTCGTGCAACTTGACAAAGCTGCTAACTGGTTTGTAAAGCAAGCACAGTTTACTCTTTTCAGTAATATGGTCCAAAATGTATTCCATTACATTGGATCAGCCCATTTTAGTTTTGACAAATTTAAGACATATAGTCACACTGGATAAAATATGAGGAAATTGTTGCTTGAATCCTGTGGTTTTATCGTTTTTTTTGGTAAGTAAGTAAGTTTGTTTGAGGACATTGTGACTGTCTTAAGACAAGATTTTCCAATGGGACAAAGCCATTTCAAAACCTGTTACTTTATTTTCTCATTCCAAGGTAGACATTTCTTGTACCATTTTATAACAAGATCATTGACAAATTTTGTTTTAAGGCAGTCAAAATGTGCTCAAATTACATAGATACACTTTGCGAAATTTGAGCAATTTTTTTACTTATTTTTCATCACTTTTTGCAGTGTAGGTTGCGTCCGGAGACAAAGGCAGACAAGTTCAACTCAAGTCCTGAGTCTACAAGTGGTAGCTATTGTACCACTTGACATTCAACGGGGTTTGCATGTTCTCCCCGTGTCGCCGTAGGTTTCCTCCAAGCGCTCCGGTTTGCCCTACCACTAGAAACATGTACAATAGATGAGGGTGTGAATGAGTGTGTGTTTATGGGTTTGACTGTGGGATTAAAGATGGAAATCCATGACGAAAAAATCTACAATCTGGGGTTTTTACAGTTACTGCTGTTACTTAAAGGTATATAGGAGGTTTTTCTACTTCCGGGTGGATCATCAAGACTGTTGGACATCCCAAATGTCAATGATTCTGGTGATAAGTACTCGTCAAATAAGACCAGAGAGTTTTGTTAAAAAGGGGAGAGGGCAGTTCTTTCCTAAAATGTGAGAAAATCCTCCTTTAATTCACACTGTCCCATCCAAATAAACAAACACAAAATAAATATTGTGAGTGGCTTGTAAAAGAACTAATACACCTTGAACTTTTGAGCATTCTTTCATGTATCTGTGGAAATAATAGTGACACAAAAAGGATAAGACTAGAAACTTTTAAAGCTTGAAAAAGAGATAATACATAAGGTGTAGCCCTGAGCATCAAAGCGACGAAAGAAACAGACTGGACTGAACTGAAACGAAAGCTTTGCTCTGGTATCATGACAACAAACGCACACTTCTTTAAATATGTCTAATTCTTTTGAGCCGGAGTTAGCGAGTTTCATCATCGCGCCAGGTTCACAACAAAGACTGACGCTGCACCATTAAGCCGCAGTGAGTCCCATTAGAGACCAAAGAGTGCTCCTGTGATCAGCTGATTCGTGCTGTCAAACGCCTCTTTGAAGGGCTTTACAAAGAGAACAGTGTCCGCACCACTCGTCCCTCTGCTCTGCTTTCAAGCCAGGATACAGCAGCCCCCCACCCCCCACCCCCTGCCGTCCCAGGACACACGGAGGCTCAGGCAGAGGGTCAGTGCGGCCGTTTAATGGGCTCCTGCTGAGAGGGAGAGCTTGACCCGGCCAAGAACAGAGCTGCAGCCCACACGCGTTTGTTAAAAAGTGCACAATGGGGTTAATTGTGGAGTGTTTGAGTGAAGGGGACGGAGATGTACAGCGAGCCGAGTGCCACTTTACGGCTAATCGGCGTGTAAATCTGTTGGAATCAAAGTAAGACACAAGGAAGCTGCCATCTCTACGAGTTGGATTTTCTGCAGACTTCTTTTTTTATTGGGCTTAAGTTCTCAAGCTCATACTTTAGCGTATAATCCCAAACTGTCATATCCAATGTTTTTACCAACACAAAATGCATTCAGTGTGATCCTAGATCCCAAAAAGAAAATTACGACACTGATGAAAGAAAACATAGATTACTGCATGAATCGGCATGAAACATGCATCGATATCAGGGTGAGTTATGTCAAGGAAAAGTAATAATGATCATCTCTACCAGATCCCATCAGATCTCTAAAGCCAAGCAGGGCAAGGCCTGGATAGTACTAGGATGGGAGACCTCTGGACACATCAGGTGCCACAGTGGGTGGCTGTGGCTGTAAAGTGCCAAACTGCCTACATTGCCGTGTGTGTGTGTGTGCGTGTATGTGTGTGTGAATGATGGTGGTCAAAGGGAACAAAGCCACAGACTGGTTGCCTCACTTGCAACGGTCTGCCTCTGGGCAGCTGTGGATACAGCAGTAGTTTACCACCAATGTGTATTAATCCCGCATCAAGTGTCTTTGGGATAAAAAGCACTATTTAAGTTAGATTTTTATATTATCATAACAGATCCGTCTGAACTTTTTACATTGGACTATTCTGACACGGATCCGACCGGGACTTTGTGTCATGGTGGCGCTGTTGAAAACTTCTCCATTCTGGGAGTGTCCAGGGGTTGCTCAGTTCAGTGGTCCTTCTTCTGAATTACTTTATCCAGCTTCGAAAGCACAGTTTCTTCTTACTGTCTAGCTGACAACGGATTATGACATGAGTTATATTCAGGAGAATACCAATAACCTGTGGGACACTACTATAAACCAGCCAAGGGCAATATTTATTTTACTTCTGTTTTGACTTGTGCAGATTTTCATGGTTCATGCACTAAGATTTTGGAATCACTTTTACAAGTTTAGACGCAAGAACAACCAAGAACACACATGTTTGAATGATTCGCCCTTAAAATGCCAGCACCATTTGAAGATTAAAAGCATTTTCTTTCTACAACAACCAATTACTTTCCCAAAAAGCATTTAACAAAGACATAAATATCTAAAGCGTGCACATTTATTCCCTTCTAAATCGTAAGACGTCTTAATAATTCACATAATAAGACCAGCAACCACTTCAATCAATAAATTATCACTTAGCACTTCAAACAAAAAATATCAATAAAACACTCTAAATCACCCATATACTGCGATAGATTTATGGTTAAATTTCAAAAAACGGCCCAAAGTTTAAACTATAAAAGTATCTGCCTGGAGACATGTCTTATTAGCATCGTCGCACTCTTTATGATACGGGATATTTTGGATAAGGCCGCCACAAGAAAAGTGCTCTCTCATCACTTTAATTAAGAAGATTAGGAGGAAGTTGAGATGACCCACTCCAGCCTATTCTGTTGTCTGTTAATAACTGATAAAGTTCTCATCCACTTAAGACAATCTATCAAGTGAAAGTGATGCCAAGTTCACTACTTTTTCAAAGATTTGGCAGTGATTACAGGTGAGTCTTGATTGCCAACAATAGCTGCATAAATATCAAATATGAAAGTGAGTTAGAGTGGCTGAAAGAATATGAACTGTACAAACAATGACAATGTAATTAAGAGTTTGTGTAAGCTCTCAGTCGTACAAGGATTAATCAAAACAAAGGAAGATTGTTCACTCATCATCTGTACTTAATTTTGCAGGTTTTTAATCCCGACTTAATCCAAAGAATTTTCTGAAGGGAATGAAAGCTCAGCCGCAAGTCGGATATTTATAACATGGTTTGTAGTTAGACACCCCATGATCCTGAGGCTAGCTCATCAACACATCTAAAGACTGCTAAGATGTGGTTGGGAGCAGGTCTAATGATCCTGCTAGGTCTAATGATCCTGCTAGGTCTAACAATACTGCTAGGGCTAACATTCCTACCTCATTAGATTGTCACTGACCTATTGTCTGCTGAGATTGCTCGGGGGAGTGTTTATAAATCTCTTGGGAAAGTTCTTTGGATTAAGAAAGACACGTCGGGAAAACCAGCAAACTGAAGTACAGATAATGGTTAATGTAATGCGGTGGCTACAGACTATCAAATGAGTATCATGGTGTGGATTATTTGTTATTTTGTTTTATTTTGACATTCTTTCTCGTGGTTTCATTATATATTTCTTGCTCTGTTCCCCTTTTTTATTGTCTGTCCCACCCTGATGTGTTTTACCTCATGTGTCTCTGTCTATATGTACCTGTGCTCTTCCTCATGTGTTGTTGGTCCTTTGACTTTGTCCGTCTGTTTTCCTGGTTCCTGATTTTGGTTTAATTTTTTTTGGTTAGTTTCATTCACCAGAGTTGGATTTATTTCTTTCATTAAATCATATTATTTTTGGATAGTTTTTGTGTCCTTCCTTAATTTCTCCACATGACGATACAAGATTTTCACGCAAAAAAATCTATCCAGGTGACAGATCCCTCACCTCAAGGACAAAGCTAAGTCTTCCTTGTTAGAGGGTCCTTATAGCTCTCTCTGTTTCATGGATGCAACAATGGGACCAAAACACTGGACCTCAGCCCCCGGTCAACAGTTTGGCAGCTGTTTCGACTCGGTGACGGCATTTGTGACGACTATAATTACCAAAATAAATATAGATTCATTTGATTTTCCTGCTACCTTTCCTACTTTTCACGAGAAATATAGCCAAGAGCAAAAATGAGTCTTTCCAATGGTCAACTATAGTTTTAGATGTGAATTAATTATATTACCATAAAACTATAAAGATATTATCCATTATCTATTAGTGGACTAAGATACAATGTTCAGATGATGAGAATGCAAATCATTACATTTCTAAATCACACATACAAGAAGATAGCTACAGAGAACAGAGCTTCTGTTGTTGTGGAAATAGTGGCGGCCATTTCCAGAAAAGGAATAATTCTCATGGGAAATATAAACAGTAACATGACCAATAATAAAACATGAGCCAAATATGAATTGATGACATTTGCCAGAGAGATGGGCATGTCAAATACACGCCCGTCTCTCTGGTAGAGCATCGGATTGTATAAGTTGCTGGAACTGGGGCGGTGAATGTTACTGTAGGTTACCATGGTGATACTCTCTACCTCTATATGTCTCAATCACACCTCAAACCCCAGGGGTCAAGCCAGTGTTCGAGGTATGAAAGGACGGAGAAGTGGATCGCCTGCTGCTTCTGTAGACAGTGTTCATATTACTGTCAGACAAACCATATGACACCACATCATAGACATACTGGTAATAAATAATGGTTTGCTTGAGTTGGCAACATGAAAATCCAGAACTAACATTAAAAACTGACGTGTGTTTGTCATTGGCGGAAAAATGCGGAATGATCCTAATGATCACCTTAAGTTAATTAATACATTATCAACATTTAAAAATACCTTAAAATGTGAAATAATTCATTCATATACTTTGCCTAAAAAATAGTAGTAATAAATAACAAACAAAAAAATTAAACAGTGAGCAGAAAAATACATTGTTCTAGAAAACATGTGATTTGTTTTAAAAGTTTGAAACCAGTAATTTTTCTACCCCTTTATTATTCCCTTTCTGGATCGGGGGGGGGGGGGGGGGTGGCAATCAGAGATGCCTCCTAGTAATATGTATTTTATTTAATTTTTTACATAGTGTTGTGTTTAAGTGGCTAATATCAGGATTACATTTACAAGTTGCTTCAGCCCAGTCCAAATGCAATATCTGTTATTACTCAAATAATTGACCTAAATAAATACATTCATTCATAAAATATATAAAATCGCTACGAACACGCCGCATGTAAATAGACCTCAGAATGAACTACAACATGCCATTACACAAAGTATTAACATTTCTATTTTGTGTGGGACAAAGCACTCCTGACCTTTCACCACGGCCATTCCTAATAAGCCCCAGCACAGTTTTACTCTAAAGGTCAGCGTGTTGGTTCTGCATACTGTTTTCCTCCTCACTATTTGTCAGATATATTTAACATTCTGCTGAGCAAGTCGAATATACTGCCTTTCAGAAAGTTTATGGATTTGTCAGCAGAAGTTAAACGGGGAACGACAGCAGACACGAGCGCGATGGGCAATTAACGAAGGAAGTGAATGGGAACAAAGCGGCGGGATTTGGGAGAGGACTGCTGTGATCTGAGGATTTATGATTATTGATATGATCTTTCTACAAGTCAAGAATTCTTCAAAAGTCAAGAGTTCTCAAACTTTTTAGTCGGGACCCTGCAGAGTGTGGGTTGAATCTACTCAAAAAAAAAAGAAAAGTTAAAAACAAAGACTTAATGTGGGGAGTAAAAACGCTCTGGATCCATTGTTGTGTTTTCTGGGAGGTTGATTGTGTTTTTTAAGTTTAAAGAACACATCCACCCATCTATTTTCTTCCGCTTTACCCGTTGCTGAGTCGTGGAGGCAGCAGTCATAAGCAAATTCCTAGTTGGTGACTTCCTGTTTCTTACCATGTCAATACAAATTATTCTGATTCTGATCTCTTCATCTAATCTTGCAATCTAATCTCTTAATCTTTCCCCACGTGTTTATTGTCTTTTGGTGTATTTTTTTAATTTTTTCAGATATAACCTTAGACTTCCTTTACCATCATTTTGTAGAATATGTTTTTTGTTAAAACAGTGTCACCGAATACAGAGCTGGAGTTGTTTTTTAGAGGCGCCAAGCAAATATCAAGAGGTTCTGGCACAAATTAGGAACAATGTGTCCCTCTCCTGTTGTTTGAGGTAGGACTTCTCTATCAGAACTGTTTTCTGGCTTTTATT